TATATATATAATTATAATAAAGTTACAATAAATTAAGTTAATATATAATTATATATACAGTACCTAATTTATATATAATTTATATATAATTATATGTACAGACGATAGTAAACTCAATTTACCCGCCTAAATTGTCCGTAGCGTGGCGCTGGACGGCGGAAAGTCGTTTGGCTGCCCGATGACGTTTTACGTAATTATAGGAGGTTTTTTTTACCGTTGTTTACGGATACCGCCACAATTTTTTCGCCGTCTTATAGGAATCGTAATTATAGGAACCCGTCTTATAGAGGGATCTACTGTAACTAGAAAGCGAATTATGATAACGTAAAACTAAAAAGACTACAGTATTACTGTTTTAAAAAAAATATGCAAAAATTCGGTTATGTACTACGGTCTAGTTGGACTGCTAGCTGTAGCGGGTGAAAGATTAGGGTGCTGGAGGATGCCCAAAATATATGAAAGCCAATGTGCCCGTCCGGCACTCGGCTGCCCTACCTGGCCGAACCCACGATGGCTCCAGAAGAAATCCCTCTTAGTGTCTAGAGAGCGGAAGAAGTAAAAAATAAGAGAAAATTTCTTGCTTGAGACAGTTACCAAAACTTCATAAAATATCATAATTGAAAAGAAAGCCCATCAGTGATAGTTGATTGCTGATTTACGCCTTATCAATGAACTGGACACTTGGAGTTCCCAGGGTTTCTCTGCTTTAACACCTAAATAGAGATACAATTTCCCAGTCTTCCTGGAAGACATCTCTCTTCGGTACATCTTCCAAGTGTTGCGTTGCCATATTCCATCAAACCAAATCTCGAGGCGTGTCATTTAAATATGTGGTCTGTGTAGGCAAAAATGTATTGACAAAGTGAGAAGATGCAGATCATTTTGACGATGTATCGGCCGTCTAATGCAGTGCCATTACGAATACGGATGTAACAGAACAATCTGTATTGTACCGGTCACGCTTAGCGTGCTTATGACTTTTATGAAAATTTCCTAAATAAAAAAACGCTTTGTATACTGTTCTATGTAATATATTTATTTTTTCTTGCGACTATTTATATACACCAAGATTAATTAGGATTAATCACGTTGTTAGTTACTTATAGCTTTAAAAGATAAATTGATAAGATGAATCCTATCTTTGATAAGGCAACGAGAGAGATATGCCAAAGGGGTGCCTTCGGGAGACATTCTATGGAAATATAGCCCCTATTTAGGTGTTACAAATGTGAAGAAAACCCGGAAAACTCCACCCCATCTCTTTATAGTTGAGTATTTCGTGAAATTTGATAGGATCTATTGAATTTAAAATCTTTACAACAAGAGGACGTCTAATTAGTTCCGTTGAATGACAATGAATGAAAATCAAGAAGTAACAAAATCTAAAAAGAATCTCAAAATAATTTTATTTTTTCGTTAATTAAACTACTTAAGAAGGATCAATAGCAAGGCTATTATTTATGGACTAGTTATTTTTGTCAAATTAAACCCAATTAACTAATTTAAGAACGTTAAATAAATTTTTATAGCATCGTTTAAGGCTTTGAACTTCAAGTAAATGAATTTTTTTTTCCTTTTCAATTAAATTCAATGTCGTTTGTTTTAATTTAATAACATTATTATTAACGAAAATTATATAAATTTTTAACAGGAAATGAGGTTAGAAAGAGTAACAATAACATTTTTTTAATGTATAATTTTTAAAAATTTAGGTTATTTATCGGTAACGTGAGAACTTATTAACTAGACGAGCATAACTTCGTGGAGGTCGATAAGAAACAGAATTTTTACAAAATAAAAGAGTAAAAAGAAAAAGGAATCATTCAGCTGTTTCGTTATTAAATAAATCCAATTAAATTCTCTAATTATTTTAATAATTTATAATAAAACTAATATTAAAATCAACACCAATAACGGCCAACTTAGCGGCCGTTTTTGTATTCTTGTCAATACAGAGGTTGCGGCCAAAGTTTTCATCTGTCGAACGTGAACGTCGAACGTCGAGCGCCGCTATCTTATAAGCGGCGCTCGACGTTCGACGTTCACGTTTGAGAGATGAAAACTTCGGCCGCAACCTCGCTAATATAAATTTGAAATTTTAATTTGGCTATTATCAAAAATTGAAGAAAGTTTACATAAATTACTTTGCCAAATTAAAATTTCAAGATGAGCAAAGAATTTAAAAAAACCTTGCTTTGATTGGCAATTTATTATTTCTAAAAGTAAAAAACATCTCTATTTTTTTACTTTTAGAAAACTTTTACTTTTTACATTTAACTAATAATATAAATATAAGTGTAAACTAAGAGAAAATTCAAATATTATGTTATTTATTGTATTATTGGAGTGTCATTTAATACCTCTTGTAACAGGATGATAAGTACGAAGGTTGAAATAAAAACATAATTTAGTGGCATACATTTATATTATTTATCTCATTAATTCAATTATTTAAACAAAATACTTGCTGTAAACCTTACACCATTGCTGCAATTATTTTTGTAAGTGAAGTTTGTAAATTTTTTAATCTTTATTTTATTTTGTTTATAAATCATTTTGCATATTACTTTTGGAATTTTTTTCCTTTTTTTGTTCAATATTAAATTTGCTTACAAATAAATAACTTTTTATCAAAATTTAATTTTTAAAAGTTAAATAAACCCATTTTGACATTCAAATTCAAATAAAATCCGCCATTTCTGAGAAACACTCATATTTTGGACATTATTTTCATCAATATTTTATATTCCCAATATTATAATAATAAAATAATATATATATATATGAATAAGCGTGAATTATGAATAAAAATATGAAAGAACAAACTCACCTGTGATAATTGAAGTACAACAGATGAAGTGAAAAGGTTAAAAATCAAACTGGTTTGCATTTTATCTTTCCATAGGAAGTCTTTTATATTGTTTCTAAATATATTTTATACAAAATTGACGGTGTGAAGGTTCAATGAAATCGAATCACCACGAAATATAAACTCTTGCAAATTTCTCCTCCTTAACACTACAGTAATCATTCATTCCTCTGCTACTGATTCAATATGAAATCGGTCAGTGGAACATCGTTAAAAAAAATGGAAGAAATAAAAAATAAACACGTATAAAAATACTCATCTACTTTTTCATATAGAACTAATTATGACTTTTTCATATTTTTTTAATCGTTGAAATTTTTAATTAATTTTGTGGATACGTGAGAAATAAATTCTTGGACAATCTCCGAAGCGAAAAGTTTTCTGTTGTTCAATTCTTAATTATTGTCAAATTTAATTACATTAAATTACAGAATTATGAGAATTCGATGCTATTTTTCATATAAAATTCATTATTTTAATATGGCTTTTTACTTCCATTTATTACAGTAATTCAATATTGATTTATAAATTGGTTCGTGTTGCATTTAAGCTAATTCACGTGTTTATATTGTTAAAGATCTTTTATATTATTGAGATAATTCTGAATTGTTTTAATAATAAATGTCGAATGGATCTGATAGGGATTTTCCATCTTGCAATACAAATCGACGTGTAAATTGTAAAAGTGAAAACAATGAAGAGATTTCCTCGTACAATTCACAAAGTATTTTATCATTATCAATAGACGAAGTTGAAGAAAAATCGGAAAAAATGAGAGATTTCCTCGCCCAACTGAACACAAAAATAAGTGGAGCATTGTGCGACGTACCGAGTGAAGTAAATCATTCTGTAACGCCTCCATCTTGCACTAGGAAGGAAAATAATTGTACATCGCAAGAAAGTATTTGTAAGTTAGACGAAACCGGAAAGAATGGAGAGAGTATTTTTTATTGCCAACATGAAAACGATGAAGTAAACTCTTCCAAATTTGATGATATTTTAAATTCCTTCAATAATCATTTCGAGAAATCGATGAAATTATATGAAGAACATATTGAGAAACACAAAATTTCACAATTCTCTACAAATTCCCGAGAAAATATTCCAGATTTAGAATATTGTACTGAAGAATTATTTAATTCCAACGAACTGAATAAAGAAAAATTAACAAAAACAAGAAAGATCGATGCAAAAGATCGAACTGAAGATCGATCTTTAATGTCTTTAAACGTAAACAAAGAGAATTGTTCAGAATCTGTAGATAAAAGTTGAAACAACTTCTCAAAATTTAAGAATATAAAATTAAATTTAATTTAAATTATAAATTGAAATTTAATTTTGATAAATTACAGATTAAAAATTTAGATTTTGTTAAAGATATCCACGAAATATTTATAAATAATAAAGCCAATATAAGAGGTTAAATGTTTTTAATTTCATAACTCGGATTTTATTGTTTGAAAATTAAAATTTTTTATACAATTCGCTGTATTGATGTAAAATAAATTAATTTTATAATAGAATTTAATTAAAAATAAATAAACTTTTATATTTAATTAGTTTTTGGGGATTTAAAATCAGTTTCAATACTACAGAATTTTGGATTTTTTAGAAATTTATTAAGTTCAAATCATTAAATTTCAGCCATTGCTAAATGGTTCATTGCTTCATCTCGCTTACTTTCACAATATTATCAACCACTTTATCATTTGATACGATAATCCGTCTTTGTTTATCTTCTTGCAACGCTTCATTTTTCTTTTCCTTACATTTATTTTCTACTTTTTTATCCGATAAATCTATTTCAATATCATTACATAAATTTCCTTCATTTTCTGATAGAGATTCACGTATCGCTTCCTTATCATTTCCGTTTTCAACTACAATTAAAGTGGATTCTACAGAATGTTTTCCCATATTTGAAGAATTATTCGCAGTATAATCGCTTGGATGTTCTTCGTAAAAAGATTCTACGGATGATTCACTATCTTCACTCGAACTCAGATAATAACTATCTGAATCGGTGCTTTCGTCGGAATCTCCATTGGGAATTATGGTATATTTAATCTGGTTTGAATAAACACAACTTTTAATAAATTATAAAACTAAAAAGCTTAAATTAAATTTCCGGAATTTCGGATTCGGTTTCTTACCGTTTCTACAAAGTTCTGATCTGAATCTTGAATGGAAGACATTCTTGGAATTCAAACGAAAACTTATAATTAAGCACTTTTTTATGTATTATTATTATACACAGATTTATTTTTAATCATAAAATCAATTTTGTCTGGTTCTATGAAAGTCTCTTGTAAGATAACTGAAAGTTTTGGAATGTGAATTTATTCTATTCGATTTTTCAAATTTGAATAATATGTAATACGAAATCATGAACGAGACAGAGTAATTAAGCAAAACAAAATTTATTTATTAATTAATTAAATACAGTACGTTAATTTTTCATTATACATAAGATAATTTTTGCATTATTTCATTATCCATAATAGTATATTCGACAGTAAAGTCCCCTCAATATTTAAACAGATCGACCACAATATTCCAAATTATTCATCTGATTTTCCTACAATAAAATAAAGAAATTAATATATATATATAATTTAAAATGTATTTACGTTAATAAAAAAAAACATTTTAATACCTTTTTTTTAATATTGTTAATGCCATGTTACGCATTATTTTGGGTCTAAATTGGACACTGATACCTAAAATTAGTTTAATGAAAGACTTAAGATATTATAATATAATGAAAACAACTTAAGTTTTGGCAGTTTTGTTTTGGACAAGTTTTATTGAAATTATTAAAAGATCCTACTTACGTTATGAAGCTGGAGGTGCACATAGAAGAGGGCAGATTTTGTTGCAAAATTTCGTTGCAGGACAAAGTTTATCACAGATATTTGAACAAGCTCCTGCTTCAGAATCAATGGCAAAATAATACAGCATGATCACTAGCAAAAAACCTTTAAGAATAATTGAAGTAATTTTCATCTTTAGTTCTAATCTTTTACTTATCCTTCAACCACTCACACTTATGAATATGTGCATACAATATACTTATATATATATATATATATATATGTCCTATTATATCTACAGTAAATATACGTTAGAAATATATTGTAAAAGGAGATAAAATTTAATTTACAGCTGTATTGATTTTCAATTTTTTTTTCCTTCTAAAGCTATTATTTAATATTGATTTAGTCATTGTAAATAATATAGTCTATAAATTGATATTTGGAAAAATAATTAAATATTTAATTGTATATATTTAAATAATTCTCCGGTTCCAACTTGAAAACTGCAGGTCTAAATTACAATGCTTAAATTAATATCTAAATTATTCTATTGTGAGAAATTATGGATAAAAATTTACTTTTTTATATTATATAGTAAATTTGTATCCATAGTAAGCAATGCTTTTTCTTCTTCCTTTTATATTAAAGGAATAAATAAATGAAAGCGTTGCTTATTTTAGGAAGCTGACATTTTATTAAACAAAAATGCTTTTTGTCAAATGTCTGACAATCCTAGTGCTCTTCCTAATGCGTTAACACTTTTATCATGGGATGATATATCAAAATATTGGCTTAAACATTAATGAAAATTTCTAAGATTCCAACTGAGAACCATCTATTTAACAGTTCAGAATAATCAGAACTGAAATTTTTATTGTAAAAAATTCGGATTTTTAAAACTTTTAACTTCCCAAAATAAGTTGTGGGTAGATTTATTTGTAAAAAATGTTGTAAAATTTTGTCAACTTCATTTATAAAAGGTATCATTTTGTGTAAAAGTATTTGAACTGCTTAATTATGTATTTTTAACAGGGTTATGCTGTTCTTTTCACTCCTGTGTACACTTAAATTTTTTTATTAAAAGTTTTTTGATTATCATTATTTTTTTTCAAAAATAATCTTTAAAATAAATATTTAAAACTCTCATTAACTCAGTTTTGTCATGATGGAAACAAAGACAACTATAGTTGTATTGTGTATATAAAAGGCCAATATAATTTGTCCGAAACCTTCTAAAATAGTGAAAATTAAGCCCTTCAAACTTTTTCTTTAAAAAAATTAGTTCAAATGATCAAACTACTAAAATATATTTCTCCTTGCTTTTTTTTATGTACGCTATTCGTTTTAAGAAGCCCATTGTTAAATAGATACCATCTTGAAATCTGAACGTTGTACTTCTAATTAAGAATTACCATTTCAAAAACAAAATCGCTACGGGATTTAAATTCACAAAGTACCGTAATAGTATAAAATAAATGAAAAATTATTAATGTTCATGTTTCATTGATTATTGTATTTTTTTTTCCTCTTTAAACTCCTCTTTGTTTTATCAGATTATCTAAAAATTTCCTATAAACCACTTCATATTATATGCCTGGTACTTTATAGATACCCACTATTTTGGTCTTCCTTTAGTGGAGATATTTCAGTTTGGTTTAGTTTATTTATATACGTGAACGCCACACTACACGTACAACGCCACACTTGGACAATCCGCTGAAGGAGGATGTTATAAGAGAAACTGGCCCTAGATGTTAAAAACGTGAAAAAACCACGGAAAACTCCACGACTCCACGTGGCCAGCCCGTGGCCAGCCCGTTGCCGAGGCGCGAACCCACGACCCATGTTCAGCTGTTTTATCCAATTTTTTGTTCTTGATGAGATCACAGTTGTGGATTGGTGTATGATAATTTTCTTATATTATTCTTTAGAGCAATCGCAATAATTGAATAGTGTCTGTTCCAGTTACTTTAACATAATAAATCTCCAGAATTCAATGATACTAATTTCAAGAGAGTTTGGACTATGACAAATGCTATCAGATGGAACGAATATACCACGAGACTGGTTTTCAATAGACTGAGATATCCACAAAGATAGAAGAGGTCTTGGTGAAGTGTACATACACGTAATTGGCACCAGAAAAACTTATCCGTTCTAATTTCAAAATTACACCTACCTCGTTCTGATTTATCTTCGCTACAAATGCTTTATGGCGATCATTTTTGTTTCATAAAGTAATATCGTCAATGTACAGATCAAAACCATTATTGTCCTTGTACTCTCAAACTACTAAAGGTTTCATAAAAGGTGGAATAATTCTGCAACCCCCCAAATACGAGTAACCAGGGAGACAATCGGAACTTCTCCCTATTGTGTAGGATCTTATTTATTAATATTTAGAAAATGCAGAGTAAGACTGTATATTTATATAAATCTATTATTTGTAAAGCTGTTAGAAATAAGCAGAAGAAAGAATTATGATTCATCTAATTCAGCGTTTCTCAAAGTGGGCGATAACGCCCCCTTGTGGGCGCTGGAGGCTTTCAGGGGGCAGTAGAAGGCTCAAAGAGAATTGGGGGGCGTTAAGGAAATATAGAGGGGCGACGGCAGACAAATTCTATATATAAAAATTCGACGGAATATATATAAAATGTTGACATTTTATATATTTTTTATTTTTTATTGAAGGTCACAACTTGAATATTTCTAACACATTGACTTTTATTTTAGCTCAGCGTTTCTCAAAGTAAGCAATAACGCCCCCTTCTGGCGCGATGAATAGATCTATGATAGAGGCAGGGTATTGAACGGTGACCAAAGGCAAAATTGGGGCTGATAAGAGGAAACATTGCGTTTAATGGTTTCCAGATGATGAGAACAATGTACAGTAAGGGCACAAAGTGTGAGATTCATAGAAAAGTTTTCCTAAGAATATTTCCAATCCTTTTCTCACACAAGAGAAAATGGGTTAGGGGGCGTTGGGTATAACTTTATGGAACAAAGGGGGCGGTGGATCGAAAAAGTTTGAGAATCACTGTCTAATTGTTATTGTAAATGAGAAAGTTGAAGCATGCATTTCATGAAATTATTTACTTTATGCTTATTTTACGTTATTTTTGATAAACACTATTTTGTTAATTATTTAAATAATCTTAACATTAAACATAACCGAATTTTCATTTTACATCTTTTACTCTAAACAAGGTCTGATTAACAAGAAGCTGTCAATTTGACAGCAATAAAAACAATGATCAATAAAGTTCATATTCAATATCCAATACAATTTTGTATATAACATAGTATCCAACAATAACAAATTATTCTCTTGTAGAATAGCATTTAAAATATCTAGTTAAACAATAAATGCTATTAAATTATAAAAGTTCTTATATATTTTTTTCTTTCTTTACAGTAAGTTTTAATATTAATTTACAACGTGTCTCTCTTTGTTTACAAAATAGCTTTTAAATATACTTTTGATTAATTATAAAATAATTGTATATGCCAATCTGCAAAAATAATTGAATGGTGAATATCACTGTTAAGAGAAAATAAAATACTGGAACCATTAAAAAACGTATGAATTAGTTTTTGTTATTGAAATTACTGTTTGCAATTGTGGAAACTTGATAAAAAATATGTGGTTGCCAGATCTAGAATCATACATTGCTGAGAATGACAACCAAATGAAAGACCATCTAATGGCTGCAATTATCACATTTTATAATACCAGTATGTGTATATCCTTATGATAATAGTAAATAGTTGATGGTCTAGGATACAAACGTTAGTGATAACGATTCACTAAACTTATACATTTGACGTGTCATTAACTCTATTACTTGATATAAATTTTTCTTGGGGTGTCTACAATATTAATGTCACATCGTTTATTCTCATTTTTCTTTCACGAGACTTTTGATTTTTTCTTTTTCAAATGTGGCAGGAACTTTTTCTTTTTATCCTTCTGTCCTTCCTCGGGTATGGAATTAGTGGGACTGGAATCCGTGGTGCCTTCTTCGTCCAGTATCGAACTACGAAATACGGACGAGAGATTGCTGGATTTTTTCCGTCGACCTGCTACTTTTGTACTTCCGTCAGTGATTGTCGATGCAGAACTGTCCTTTTCTGGATTCAAACAAGATTCTGAAAGAGATTTCTTTCCTATTTCTCTTGGAGGAGTAAAGTGGTTGTCTTGACTATGACTTTTAACAATCTTTTTACCAAATATTTGATTTCCAGGTGGTAATGCTTCTTGTGGACTGAAAGTGGTATTTAGATTTCTTAATTTTAAATTATTGTTATCCAAAATTATATTATCAAAATGAATTAAAGTGCTACCTGTCTCCTAGAGTAAAATTTGGACGAATGTTTTCTAATGTGAGTTCGGGTGAGAGAGACATAGAAACAGTAGTGTCTTCGGTAGCATATTCCTCATTGACTTTTTCCTCCATTTGACCAACGTTAATAAATTGATCACTATTCAGAAAGTTAGCATTCATCTGCAAAATTGCACTTGACGAAGAACAATGTTTCAAATCTGGTGCTTTGAGAATGCAAGCTACATCAGTAGCACCAGGTACAACATCATTATGAATGTCTAAACAAAATCCAGATCGTCTGTAGGGAACTGAAGGAATGCTGGTTATGGAACCTAAATAAAAATTTTTAAGATAATAATGTAACAAAATTTCTTAATTCATTATTATTTCTATAAATTAATTTAAAATATTTAAATAAATATATACATAAATTTTACAAAGAAACACATGCGCTATAGCAAATATACATATAAACATGCATTTTAAGATCTCACCATTATTTAAAGGAAGATCACAGCTGACATAGGAAGACACATGTTTACTTGCCACCATAGAGACTCTATTATCATGTTGTGTTAATCTCCGAAGGGATGGGTTAAGTAACAAAGAGTCATTATATTGACTTAGGTAACTTGAAGGGGCGGGTGCAAGAAAAAGTGTCGCGGAATTGTGGACTAGTTGCTGCACTAGACGATTCGCAGAGAACAGAAAGAGGGAAAGAGAGAAATGCAATTATAAAAGATGAAGAATTATTATTTAAAAGACAAAAAGTATTTAATATTAAAAACATGAGAATTAATAAAGCCATTCAATACGATCTATTAGCGTTGAAAAATTATCTTGCTGTAAGAGACAATAAAATTCATGCAGTCTTATCAATATTATTAAATATTTTAATAAACTATGATTACAGGGCTCGGAGTGGAGTTACTTTTTAATAAATAATTATTTTTCGTACAAGTTAATGAAAGTTATTTTTACAGATTTGATTATTAAATTACTTTATTACATTTTTGATTACTATAGTTTCTTTTTCATTATATTTACAGAATATTTCAGCAATCAAAAGAGAGTTAAAGCCACAGACTGTACTTCTATTGATTATTTTGACAATGAGCTAATTACATGACCTGGGCCAATTAGTCGCTATCATTGAACCATTACTCAATGCAATATAAATGACAGATCATCCTGTTATGGTCCATTTACACTGTATGAAATGGATGACCTATCATTTGTAAGATTAATCACAAATTTAAAAAAAATGTGAAATTAATAATGTCTTTAAAATTTCTTTATGAAAATATAATGCAAATTATATACCAGTGTGCTTGCTCCTCATAGTTGCAATAAGTTACATTCTGCTTCTGGAGATTAACTGTGATTAGAAATATACTTTTAAAAAACATTGTATTTCTTATATAATTATTACAATCTTTCCAATCATAATCAAATAATTTTACAAAGATTGTCCAGTAAATATCCATCTGGATATTTCATTTCAAATTTATGCAGCTATATAGCTCAATGGATCTGCATTTCTCTTACAGATCATACAACGGCCATCTGAAATATGAACTTCCTGACTTAATTTCTCATCGTTTTATTACAGATAGCATCATAATGGTTACTTCTGCTCAGAAACAGAAAATTATGAAGTTTCACTTGAAGAAAAATATCAGCAGAAAGGCAATTCCTCACAGACTTTTAGCAGTGTTCAGAAAGAGCAAAATAGCCTGCATATCTATATTTCAGTGATGCAGTTAACTTCCAGAATGGATATGAGTTCATTGAAAATAATCTCTAGCCAGATCAATCCATAAGTATTATCTGCAGCACAACACAGTGTTGCAGATAATTTTCAGTAATCCCTGTCACCATACATGAGACTGCACTCTATATTAGCATCAGTACAAGTTTTGTGGATATTTTTGGGGCCATATTCAAGAAAAAATTTAGTATTAACAACAACAGTACCATCTTGTTACAGGATAATGCAAGGCCAAACATAGTTAAGAAAATTAGAGATACTTATCAAAATGGACTAGGAAGCATTGCCTTATCCTCACTACAATCCAGTCTTGTCACCAATTCACAATTATCTGATCTGTTCCCTGAAAGAATATCTTGGCAGCAAAAAGTTTACAGATGAAGATAAGATTATCCTCATCATCCTTCAATAGTTCTGAGGTAAATGAAAAAAAAATTACATTTCCAAAATACAGAGTCTGGTAGACTGTGTAAAAATGCCTATAAGTGGAAAGGAAGTATGTTGAAATATAATGTTTATAATTTTTTCTATGTATAGTATTTGTGAAGTAATAAAACCAGTTAAATATTTACAAGACATTCCATGTAGTTTAAACTTAATCACTGTTATTATAGAAAACTTCTCTCACTGTATATGATTTAATAAAATTAAAAACAGTCTGCCCAAAAAGGACCACCATTTATTTCTTATGTTCCAGACTATACATATTCACAGTGACTGACCTTCCTTTTTAGGCTACATGCCGCCATAATTTAAAAAAGTCCTTTAAAAAACACAAATATAGCCAATTAAAATTATAAAATTTCTAAAAAAGGAACAGGTGACATACAGACACTTTGCTTTTCATCCATCCTACGGAGTGTTTCTGCTTTTATCTACTGGAACAAGCGCTGGAAAATGTAGATTTTGGAAGCGTCCCCCTAGTGACAATACATTTCAAATTTTTCTTTTGTAAACTTTTTTCGTTGGATGGAGATTATTAATATTAATAAAATTAAAGACAGTCTGCTCAAATAACTGTTCATGATTTGTTAAAAAATTTACCATTCATAGTTTCCTACAAAAATTTGCATCATCAATCTTTAATCAGTATGGAGTACTAAAAATTTTAATATCCAGGTATCTGAAATAATTCAATGTGTGCCTTAAGGGCATTTTATATTCAAAGTCATAGAGTTTCCCTGACATTTCAAAAATCTGTATTAATTTGCATCTCTTTCTCTTTCAGTTTAAAAATGATATTGACAATAAAAAATATTAAAAGCAATTATTATGATATAAAAATGAGTGAAATATTGACAATAAGTGGACATGATTTATGTAAAGTTACATTGGTAGAGCTGAACACAGAAATTTATTAAAATTTTAAAAGATTCATCATTAAATGTGTAATTACAAACTTAAACAATTTTTGTAATTTACATCAAGTATTAAGAACTAATTTATTGAAAGTTAAATAAAATTTATAATGAAAAATTATATGTAGTATATAAAAAAATTTTTAAAAGCTTTTAGGGAAATTTTATCCTTTATTTTTAAGAAAGAGTTTATTTTTATCATTTATTGTACACTTTAAAAGAATATATTTTATCCATTAGTATTTTATTAGTATTCTGTGTATTAGGGTGCTTGCAGGCATATTTTTTCAGATGAAATAAGACATGACTGCAAAAGTACCTGCCACTTAATATATACAAATACTTTATTGTAATAAGAAAAGTCTTGTTACAGGGGGGTTGGCTTTAGAAAATTACAAGAATACAATTAATATTCATTTAAACATGTTTTAAGTATCCTATTACATAAAACTTAATAAACATAGTATACCAATCATGCAATCTACACTATCATATTTCAAAATCTTTAAAATATGAACAAAAAATTATAAATATTATACATCTTACACAACAGAATTATTTCTAGATTGGTTCTGAAATTTTCCTATTAATTTAAATCATAAGTTTCTTTTAATTTAGATTTACATTGCGCTTCAACAATCTTTGTACACTCAGTGAAAAAATAATATATATTTTATAAAAATGGTTATAAATATCAAGATGAACTTGCCTACCCGCTGGCGGTNTGCTATCAATTGAGTTCAATTTTCAGCTATAATTTGTATTTGCATAAACTTTATTAAGTCTAAATATCACAATGACTATTCAGTTTAACACTGAAATTGCAATACAATAATTTCATACTTTAAATACAAAAATTATATATTTCCATCTGAAATATTATTCTGCAAGAACAACTTGAGATATAACTAAATTTTTAAATTTTGGAATATAAGCACATTTGCAGTAGTAGACATACTTCAAATGGGAAGCACATAACCTAAATCAAAACTTACTTCATTCTCAGAATGACTTGTAATCTCTTTTAACTTAAAAATTTATAATTGCTGATACATCTATAAATACATGTGCCTAATATAAGAAATCCATAGTTTTGTAATCTCTGCTATACATAAAAATTTTAATTTTTAGTAGTGATAATATTTAAAAGAATTACTTTATGCGTACTTTCTTGCCTTTTTGTTTTTTTTTTCTTTTTATAAAAATGTACTCCGAGCCCTGTGATTAAGAATCTATAACTTATAAAAATGTAAAGTAAATAATAAAGATAATAAAGTAAATATATTATTAGTAATCTAAATAAATTTTACAATATTAAAAGTATATAATTATATTTATAAAAATGATAAAATTTAGATAAATAGTGGTTATCTTACATAAATATAAGTAAATATGTCAATGAAATAAGAGAGAAATTATTCTAATTAGATAAATAAATTTTTAAAAAAATGTATTCTTTAAATTCATTTTTGTTTTTAAATCTTAATTTTAATGAGAATTTATTGTTTTGAATAATATATTTATAAATTGAAAAAACTTACAATGCAAAATTCATATAATTCTATCAGTAAAATCATTTGAGTTTTTAATTTTACCTGCACTTGTTCTAAGACCAAAGGGTGGAGAAACATCATCATCATTTTCACTTCCTTCATTTGAAGTGCTATGCTTCACTAAAAAGAATAATATTTATGATTTAATAATTCTTCAAATACTAAGTGCAATAAGTTAAAACCAACTCCATAATAGACACCCATCTGTTAGAACACAACCCAAAAACAAATAAAATTGTACTTTAACATTGCTAATTCAGAATTCTAATATTTGAATTATGTCTAAATCCCACCTCACTTTGAAGCATATCTACAAAGAAATACAATGAGCTTCATTTACCAAACCAAAACTCAAATTCTATTCTCAAAATAATTTAATTTGTTAAATTTTTCAACATTAATTTTCATTTCAAATTCAATTAATTTTGCATAAGATTTTAATTTGGATAAAGCACAAAGATAAATTACTGTTTCACTTTGGCCAGATAATCTGCAATCTATCCAATGCAGGTTGGATGGATAAAGAATTTTGTTATTTAAATCAACTAGAATTTATTATTTCTCTATGGAGTAAAAAGTGAAGTAAATAAAAATAAATGTTACCAGTTATTTCATAAAAATATTTCCAGATTTAGCTAAAAATCATAGATTTAGCTTTAGAGTAACAAACAGAAATACTTCAATTTATACTTTCAATATTACAAAGATCTTAAATGATGTCTACCAGGATTAATCACAATAATAAAATACAAGTCAAAAGATAAAAGGAAAAGTTTTTAATGTCTTCGCAGATGACCTAGGTACTGGTTGGGGTGTTGTACTTAGAAGAGCAGCCACCATACTGTGACCTATTGAGACTCAGCCTTCAACTCGGTGGTTTGTCCACCATGGACAGACTGTTTTCTAACTGAACAGCAGATTAGCGTGTTGCCTTAAAAGTCTCTACTTCGATTTTTTATTTCAGTAATACTTAGTCTCACACTGTAGTGTTGTTGTATCTTTTCACTTGATCATGTGTGTGTTTGAAAGGATTTAAATACCTATTATGATAAGGTCACTTTGGAAAAATTAGATAATCCAATTACATTTTTATATTTATATACATTTCAATTTTAAAATATAAAATGTTAAATTTAATTTTTTTTTAAATTTAAAAATTACTGAGGATGATTTTTAAAAATATTTTAAAAACTTTGATTTAAAGCTTAGTTGTAAATTAAATAAAGCAAAGAATAAAGAATGTTTCAAGAATATTTAAGAATAAATTAAATTGCTTGTTATCAGTAAAAAAGTTAGTTTTTAATTTTTATATACTGTATCAGAAGACATTAAGAATATTTTTTAAAAATTTGAATAATCTGTATTCACAGATGTAATGCTGAAAAAAAAAAATTTGATTCTCTTCATTCTCCATATTTGCAATGCTCAGTATAAGTTATAAAATATCCTTTCCATTTCTCCAATCGTCTAAATAAATAATAATTTACTGATCAGCAAACCAAAACAATTATGAAATTTGGAATCTAAAAAAAAAATTTAAATAATGAAAATAATATAAGATAAGTTATTACTAATAAAATGCTTTGGAAAAAAAATAGTTTGTGATATCATAACACACCTTTTATGTTGACAAGATAGTTTTATTGAAAAAGTAACGTTGTCGGCCTATTCTATAGGCCACTTGTATAAACATACACATTAAAAAATGAATAATTTACCTGCTGGATAAACTGAAATTCCAGAAGTTCCATTTCTTTGCAATAATGACTCAAGGTGTATTAAACCAGGATTAACAACAATAGGAAATCCACAAAGCAACTCTATCTGTTTCCATCTGTGTAATCTTTCTTGAAGATCTTTAGTCACTTCCGATAAAGCAGCTCTGTAATATATTCACATAGCTTAAAAAAGTTAATAAAATTAATCTAAATTTAAAAATTAAACAGATATATGGTTATAACATCAAAATCAATTCTTATATAATTTTAAAATATTCTGCAAATTTAAATAATAAATATTATACATTTGTTAAACTAAAGAAAATTAATTAGGAAATCAGTTATACAAAATTATCTATGAAAATAATTATAAATAAAACAAACAAATTTTCTCATAACAAATTTTGAAATATATAGACTCACACATTTGAAATATAAGCTCATAAATTAAAAGAAAAAAAAAGCTTAAAGCTCTTACCTCGATAAATGCCAGGATGCCAGAAAAAAGGGCAGAATTTTAACTTTGAGGAAAGCACAAATTTATTCTCTTTTAAAAATTATAATTTATTTGCTACACACACATTTTTGGTGTCATTAAGATAAAATTTTATATATTTTATTTTATAATACATAAAATTTCATTTAACTGAAATTTTTAATTTTTTATTATTTCAAATAGAAATTTTTAAATACTGTTTTTTAGAATTAGACCCAAAAAAAGAGACTAATTTCATAAATAAAAAAAGACACAAAATTAAAATCTGTATAGGATTATTCATTAATCTTATAAGATAAATGTGAATGGTATGAAGTGCAAATCTCAGCAGAATTTTTTAGTCATAGGTTGGGACCTCTTGAGTACACATGTAAAATACAAGATCTGTCCCAAAAGTAAGTGTACTGATTTTTTATTTAATGACCAAGCAGCTTAATACATCATTAATTGGTATTTTCATATCACTACATATCATAGCAACATGTCTAGACCTGTTTCTTGTTTGTTTATTTATGGCAATGCAACTTGGGCAATCTGCCTAGGAGGGATACCTTCTGGGAGATCTTTTTAAGGGAAACTGGCCCCTATTAAGGCGTTACAGATGTGGAGAAAACCCAAAAAACTCCACATGACCAGTCTGTCTGAACGAAGTGCAAACCCATGACCGAACTCCCAGTGTTCAGGAAACAAAGACCGCTTGGCCACTGGTAGGATCAGTTAAGTCAAACAATCTCTGTGTAAGATAATGTTTTAACACATCATTACACCAGGCCTTCTATAAAAATTGTATAGGAACAACATTGAAAATAGGTCAAGCAAGTCTGTAGGGACATTGCAGAAGATTGTGTGCTGCATCATGATAATGCGAGTTTTTAGTCCAGAAAAAAATCCCCACACTCCCATAACCTCCCTGTAGCCTGGACCTAGCTATGTACAACTTCTACCTATTCTCTAAGATAAAATCCAAGTTGAAAGGTCATTTTGGAACAGTGGAAAACATCAAAAAAGTTGTAACTGATGAATTGAAAGTCTCTTACAGAAAACACAGTGATTCCAAAGTTTTTTCTACTGCTACAACCAGTGGAAAAAACTTTGGAATCACTGTATGACTGCGTAAGGGTCATACTTTGAAAGGAGATTGTTTTTAGTTTGATGTAACTCTTGAAACAAGTAAAATGGCAAAGCCATTTTTGGGATGAAATTATGTCTCAGAGAGCATGAGCAATGCATGCACAAATCTCACACTCGCACATGCTTGTAGAAACAGTCAGCATTTCATATTTTCTTTTAACCTAGTTCTCGGTCCCATGACTACCTACAAGTATGGTTTATTTTGTGCACGCATGATTTAGGCACCAAATACTCTGTGCCAAATTGCAACTCCTGAGATGTACTCCTTCATACCTCTAAGGTATGCAGCCATTGACAGCAGAGCAATTTTAGAGACAAGACATAGTCTCATCAATAAAAACATCAGTACATTTACTTTTGGGACAGATCTCATATTAAGTATAGATAACCAGCTATTTTATAATAATTAACAAAATAAATTTTATTGTCCATTATAAAGTGCATGATGAATATGACACTAACACACCACATGCTAAAACATCTTTCTACTATGAATTTCTCTTCACTTATAAATCCAAATGCTTCTGGTAATTTTTTTGTCAAACTTTTGTTAAAATAATATCTATTTATAAATAATATTTAAATTAATTAAACAAAACAATTTTGTAATTTTGTTTTCCATAATTTTCTCCATTTCCAAAATAATTGTCGACTATTCTATTGTGATTAACAATACTTCTTCCAAATAAGCAAGTGCATCTTTTAAGCAATCAGGAAATTAGATTTCAGATATTCATGGCACTGGCTTCATTTTACTGACAATGACAAAAAATTTTAATCTTCTTATTTTGATGGCTCACAACCAAATATGACTAACCAGTTTTAAATCTGTTAGTAACAAGGCAATAATGCAATGAAAAAATAAAATTATTTTCTTTTTACTTTACTTAGCTACATGTTTTTCTATTAGTTTAGGACTTATTATACCAAACTGGTGATATAATAAGTCCTAAACTAAAAAAGAACAAAAAGCTACTATAATAAACAATAAAATTAGTCCATTCCAAGTAACTTGATGAACAACAGGTAAACTAAACAACAAATGCTATCTAACAAATTAAATACATATTATTTTGTTTAATTAATTTAATTGTTATTTATAAACAGAAACTATTTTAAGAAAAGTTTGAACAAAAAATCCAGAAACAGGATCGAAAGTTGGGACAGCATAGTAGTAGACAGAAGTCTCATGTTGCCGTGCAGCACATTAGAATGTCATCCTCATCACAAATTTTATTACAGACATTAAAATCTATTTTGTTAATTATTATTGAATGGCTGAACATCTGCACCTAACATTTTACGCATGAGCTCGGGAGTTCCCATTTACAAACTACAAAGTTTCATTCAAATTTGCCTTTCTCACCATATGCTCTCTCATTGTTACACAGAACAGTTAATTATCTGTATCAAATATTTTAAAATGTCATGTAATACCACAGTTTTATTTAAATAATATCAAAACACTTACTAAAACACCTTTTATTGCAGCCGAAGTTTATAAGAAAAACTTTCTAACGTTTTCGGTCTTGTTAAAAGACCTTTCTCAAGAAAAATAAATCAAATAAATCAAATAATTTTCTTGAGAAAGGTCTTTTAACAAGACCAAAAACGTTAGAAAGTTTTTCTTATAAACTTCAGCTGCAATAAAAGGTGTTTTAGTAAGTGTTTTGATATTACAACATGCAGTCTCAAACGATTTATTTAAATAATAAGTTTATTATTATGTTACGATTTATTATTTATTCAAATTCACAAAAGTGTTTTAATGATAACATTAAAAAAATTGATATAAAATTAGCAATATTGAACAAAAAAGTTCTAAACTATTATACAAATTACACGTCATTACCGATACTTAGCAAAAATAAATAATATAATAACAGAGAAAATAATATAAATGCATTAAGAAAAATTAAAAATCTTATATCAATTGATTTAAATTATCTATTTGAAAGTATCTTTATAATTCAGTAAATTAACAATAATTTACCAATTACGACCTCAAAAATTTCCTTTTCTGCACTTTTTTCTTTACGAGGATTTTAAATAATAATTTAAGAAAAATCAAAATCAATATTTTAAGAGTAATATATAAAGAAGAAGAAAATAAATAAATAATAGATTAAAATTGATCTACAAATTACCAATTTATAAATTATTTGTATTTTGAGAATATTTCTCTCATCCCATTAATGGGAATTATTAAAGAAATACTTTGATGAATATGAAACTTACTTTGCTTGGAGAATTCTATTGTCCACATCATCTATTGATCCACCGTGAGCAATACGAAAAGATCCAAGAAAACTAGATCTTCTTTTACGAAGTTTTTCACACTTGAAAAAATTTTATTAAAGTTATTAATAAATATATCTACAGTTTTTAAAATGTTAACTCACTTATAAAGATCTTTTTTTATATTATCTCGCAAAATAAAATTAACAACAACTTATCAAGAATTTAAATAATTTTCATTGCAATAACAAGTATATATAATAATTATATATAAAAAACATCTTTTCATACATTTCCAGCATGTCTTTATATAGATACGTTGTACTAACCTTGTATAGCTTTGCAGTTACTACTCAAAAAATGTAACACAAACGTTTTCGACCCACTTCTACAGTCTTCCTCAGGCGTGTTGTAATTTTTCTGGTGCGATTCAGATTTTTAACTGTTCAGGTCTCCAACACTTCTATCTTCGGAATTTATTTTTTTAAATTTCAAAATTCGAATATCCAAACAATGTGCGCCTGCGCCAGTTGTTATAGCATTGCATCATAAATAGCCTGCCATGCGCTTGATAGTTGTTTTTCTTCTTTAAAATTGATTGACAGGCCTTTGCAGTCTGTTTTAAAAATTTCTAACACCTCCAGATTTTCTTTGCCATTCCTGAAGATGTCAAACTATCTTACCATTAGTTAGTATCCTGAAGATATCAAATTATCTTCAGGATACTAACTAATGGCAAAGACCTACCAAACCCTGAAAAGCTTCCAGGAGTATACACAGTACCACTGGAAGACAACAGGTGTGATAGACAAATGATATATATTGGTTCCACAAAATGTTCGTTAAAAGTGAGATTAAAAGAACACGAATCAGACATACAGCACAGTAGAAACACAACGGCCCTAGCAACATATGCTTTGGAACAGGAAATAACAGCAGACCTGCACGCAGCAAAAATCATTATAACAAACTCCAACACACAAGAACTAAAATGGCTAGAAGCCATGGAGATATTTAAGGTGAAAATAAATGGTAGGGCCATTTCCTCCTTATAATTAATACACATATCTGTAGCATGGCAGATTTTGCTGGATAACAGCATTTAAAGAGATGATTATGGAGCATGTGCAATACAACTACAGAACGATTTCACATGATAGTGTTAGGAAGAAATTCAGATCGAATGTTTATTTGAACAGTAATGGTCTATTTGATAAAGCCTGAAGAAGAGCCCAGGAGGGGGCGACAAAAACATTTGTGATTCTAAAAATAGAAGCACTCTGTTTTTGACTTGATTTACAGGCCTTTTTCAGATTAGAAGCTGTTCTAATTAGGAGTTATGTTGTGTTCCAAAATGGAACAATTGAAAGTTTCTTTGTGGTTATTTAAATTTCTTATGTTGTAACTTGCAATTTATAAATTTAAATAAAATTATTTATTGAAAATATAAAAGAACATATAATAATAATAAACATTCATTAGAACTATAAAGAAGTGTTGGAAACATATGAAAAGATGTGTTTTTTTATATATAATTTATAAAAATTCCAGCTTATGGTAGAAGATTTAGTTCAATGTTTTATATTCAGATCATTTGAGCTGATAAATAGTTATAGGTAAAAAACTAATTTACTTTTTATTAAAATACTGTATTTACTTACTCCTTCCTTGGCTGCTGCTAATTGTTGTTCTGCTGCAGATCTTTTAGCATTATAATGCCGCAGTTCTAATTCGTGTGTCATTTGTAACCAGTGTTGTAGTGCTGGAGGTGGTACCCAAGACCTAGATTCCAAAGCTTTTTTTGCTACTTTCAATTCTTCTCGTACATTTTGTAATTGTTGTTCTAACTGTTGTAATCTAGATTGCCCGGTATCAAGATTATCTGTCTCTTCAATACTAATCTAATAAAATACGAAAAAATTTGCAAGAATATCTATAAAGTTCAATCACGAAAAAAATACTTCTTTTTAATTTATTATAAAATTATTCAATATATTATTATTTATTAAAATGACTTACTTCTTCATGTAACCTTTGTTCTAAATTCTTTTTCTCCTGCATAACACTTTCATGTTCCATTTTAGCTTTGTCCAATCTGTAATAAATATATTATTTTACATTTAAAGTATAATTAAGCTTTATTAATGAAGAAAAAATTTAATGTAGAATAAATGTGTATATTAATCTAACAATTCAAGTATATGTTATATATATATATATATATAGATTTGAAATATGAAGAATCTTGATGATAATTAACTAACTTTGTGATTGATCAACAAATGCAGATTAAAATTACAGAAATCATTTTAAAAATTCATGAATTAATTGCATATATTCTTCAAATTACTCTTGCATGTAGAAGAAAGTTTAATGTTAAAAAATAATAATAATTCAAACATTTTTAATGACATTCCTGATAGCAGAGCCTCATTTTGCATTTATCATTAAAAAGTAAATTGATATTAAAAAAAAACAATCTTAAAACACAAATAATACATTGCATTGTATTATTTGTATTTTAAGACTGTGATAGTAAATTTAAATGAGTTTTAAAAACTGTTTTCAACAGTTCTAGTGATCATCTTTAACATATCCAGTTAATTCTAAGTAAGATTTAAATTGAGAGGCCAGTTGAAATTAATATTCATCCTTACTAAAACTCTAGATTTAATTCTTAAATCTAAATAGGGATTTAATTCACTGATATTGAGGAGTTAATTCTCAATTTACAGGTTAACCCTCTATTTAAATTCTCCATAAAACAAGGATGTATTCAATTTTTATGATTATTCTAAGCTCTTGCAAAAAGTTAAAACTAAGTAGCTATCTATACTAAAACATGATGCATTGCAATGACACACCAACAACTGCCGTAAATCATCAGGCTATAATTTGGAAATAATAATTATAAATTACAAATGAATTTGACACTAGAGGGAGGCCTTATTATCATTAAATTTAATACAAGATGGTGCCTACTGCCTCCCTGTAGTGTCAAATTCATTTGTAATGTATAATTTTTATTTCCAAATTATAGCCCAATGATTTACGGCAGTTGTTGGTGTGTAAGTAGCTATACAATAAATAATCATATCACAATCATACTTAATCATACTTACAATTTAAAAAATTCCTACCCTTACTTCTAAACTATCTTCATTTGTTTTAGTTTTTAAGTTTATGTAAAAAAAGTAACAACTGCTTACTATTTCATAGTGTTATAATTCCCGAGCAACTATTATATTCCATCTCTATATTTGTTAATGAACTTGATTTTTAATTTCTAACACATTTTAATATTTTGCAGTTAATTCTAATAATACTACTGTCTCAAATTTCACATAGTTCCCTTTACCAGAGAAATCTATTAGTTGCTAAGCTTTGAAACTATATACTTCATTTGTACATAACAATTCATACAAACACATTATCACAAATTTAAAAAAATTATAGTTGTAACATAACTCTCCACTTTAATTTGAAGATTTCATAATCCAATGTTAGATTGGGTTGAAGAATACGAAAAGTAAAGTGACTCTTAATCTAGAGTTACGAGCTCAAAATCTCAGGTTATAAAATTTTCTATTTGAAACATTTTTAATGTGTTTGACCAAAAAAATAAGCACAAAATGCATTCCTAAAACAGATTATTTAAACAATCACAAAAACTTTTTAAAAATCTTAATATACAGTGATACAAGTAAATATGACGTACCGAACCTATAACCAATGTGTATCTAATTGTTCATTCAACTACAAATGTTTTCATAACCCCCTTCTGGCCTCTTCTTCAAGTGAAAAGCTGGATCAAACACCAAACAACGAACAACGAAATTTGAATAAATCCGAACAGATACTGCACATCCTGGTGTGCAGTTGCTGTTATACAGTGACACAATACCAAACAATTTGATGTTACATTTTAATTAAATTTTATTATAATTTTTATAAATATTAGAATTACTCTTTTTGAACTTCTAAAAGTGTTTCTTCAGCCCTTTGTAAACTCTCCATATCCGTCATCATTTTACGCATGTGCGTTTGAGCATATTTATGCTGCACATAAGCAAACCAGCATCCTCCAATAGCAATTACCAAAGAAAATACAAGAAGAACATCTTTCACATAATTGTGATCTAAATAAAAATTAAACATATTTTTAAAAACAAATATTTTACATCTTGTAGTAAAAGAAATTAAATAAAAAAAAACAACTTGTTCTTACGTCTTGGTGGTCCAAATAAAACAACATCCATTGCTTTCAAAGCAATTTTATGTTTGTGAATGGAATCTTTAATACCCAAAACAGAATTTAAAAAATGCATATTTACAGCCATTCTAGAATAAAAAATGATCAGTCATTATTTTTGAATGATAAGAGCTGTATTATCTATAAATTTAAAAAATTATTTTATCAAAAGATTAATTAATTATTTCATAAATTTTAAAATAAATTATAATTCAATTTATATGCCTCTATGTCCTTATTTTCTATTTGTTATATATTTTGTCTATGAGGACTTAGCGTATTAATAGGACATATACACTGGTGTTTTGGTTTAGCAATCAAGGAAAAGTCTTATTCAGGGAAACAAACAATCTACAAGGTATAATACAAAGTGATCAATAAAGATTGTTTGTTTCTCTGAATAAGATTGCTAAAGCCAAAAAACCAGTGTAATACATACTATTAATAGACTAAGTCCTCATAGACAAAATATATAACAAATATTTTAAAATTTCATTATTATTCAAGATATTTTAAACTAAGAATGCTGCATATTGATTGGGCTGCAATTTGACAACATTGTAGACCTATAAATTCCCACTGTTGTCCATCTGTTTTTCCTTAATCTCAAGAATGGTGTTACATAAATGAAATTCAAGAACAAATATGAAAAGCTTAAAGGCAGGAGGCCCCAATTAACTATGTTCGTATATAGTTAATCGGGGCCTCCCACCCCAATCTTTCCATATCTGGTCTTGGCTTTCATCTATCTAACTCCATTCTCAAACTTAAGAAAAGATTGACAGATGACAATGGGAATTTATAGGTGTACAATTTTTTCAAACTGCAGCCCAAAAAAAATAGATTATGATAGTTTATGTTTATTCTGTATATTATAATTAAAATTAATATTCAAAAACAAAAACAAAAAATACATGTAATCTAATTTTCATCTCTGAAACTTAACACTAGGATCAAATAAATTATCATTCTTCACTGGCAACACTTTATAATAGCATCAATTCCACATGTTAACAAAGAATATAATCCTTTTTCCAAAATGCCACTGCAAAACACATGAATGCAAATGTCACTAATTTGACAGTGGGCACCGAACTACCAATATTTTTTAAATTAAAATTTAACTACAAATAATAGTAGTTACTATTTGTATGTAGTTAATGGTTATATGAATTTTCACATATAATATGCTTTAAAAATTCTGCTATTTAGACTAACATCATTGCTATACTGTAAAATTTATTGTTTTCAATAACTCATCACTTCTCAGTACATACTGAGTTTGCAGGACTCTAATAACTAACCAAAACTGGCTAGCCAGAGGGTGAAGGCAATTAAGATGATTAGAATCCAGATAGATTGAAAGATCCCAAAAACGTTTTAGGAGTGGTCTATGAAAAAACTTTTTAACTACCATTTTAGATTGGTAGTGTTTTGCTCTAAGATAGTATGTGACTTTTAGTTCTAAATATAGCACAGTAAAAAGAATGCTTGCAGATACTAAATGAAGAATACAAGAAATGGAACATCAGTTATTCATATAAAAAAGTATATTAAGCACAGTTCATTTTCTGTCCAAACATAAATTGAGAATTGAGTCAAAGTGATAGCAGTTCAATAATATTGTTTCAAGAACTATCTACGATGATCATATTGCTACTAGTATGAAAGAGAATTAAAAAAAATTGTACACATTCATGCTAGTGACTTTGTATCTCAAAAATGAAATCACAGACCCCAATTTTTTTACATTTTAAGTTCCTCACCTCATATTATGTAAAATGAGAAAGTTTAATCAAAACTGACTGATCAAATTTTGAGAATGAACTCAATTCTATAAGCCACATAGAAGAGGCTTCACTAATGCCCATTCTCAAATATTTTATGTAATATATTTTCAAATTACATCATTTAAAGACAATATTTTCCCTCTGTACATTTATGCCATTATTAAAGATTACATAACAAATAAATAGTACATTACGTTGGTAAAGTTGTGCCAGTAACAGCATTTTCTTGAAAATTTTTTACATATTGTGGCAGTTCAACTGATGACACCAACCACTCAATTGTCTCCTCCATTGTCCAATTATGAACTAAAATACAGACAAACAAATTTAATTATAATAATTCAAAAACATTTTTATGAAAATAATTAATTATATTATTAATAAACAATTTTCTTAAATTAATATTAAAAATAAATGTTTTATGTTCTGTCAATTTATAACATACGTGTAACTATACATAAATTATTATTTCTAATATTCTATAATTATATCAATTAAAATTTGTTTATTATTTTTAAGTTTTAAAAATAAATGAGTTTACTTTCATTAAACTTTAATTTGCAACAACAATTCTACTAAAGTGTTTAGCAAACAAAGAGTGATATTGCTATTAATTACATATTTAACTTTCTATACAATCAAACAACTAAGATAAACAATACTAATGTTTCTCTTTAATCATTGAGTTATATTTAATTATTAAACTTAATATTTTTTCTAATAATTTAATATTTTTGAATTAATTAGTATTTGAAAATTATTTAATAATTTAAATAGGACATTAGTAACAAACATGTTTTAATAAAGTGTTACTCCAAACCCTCCTCAGTGCTAGTTGGAGGGGTTGGAGTACATTATACCAATCCAAAATGCATATGCAGTTCAATTGTAAATAAAAAAAATTTGCTAACCACAAATTGCTGAGATACATCTACCAAAGTGTGTTTTTTGGATTACATAGATGGATTTACATTAAAATATACCATACAGCAAGCCAATTGTGTGTGTGTGTGTGTGTGTGTGTGAAACAAGTATACAGTTAAAAAAATAGGATAATAGAATACATAGCTGCCATTAAAAATGACAATAAAAATTCTGCAGTAGCACAACATTGTAAAAAGAATGGATGCAAAATATTAAAAAATAGTACAGGTATACCTCACCTTATGTCGGTAATTGGTTCCAGGAGAGGCGACGTAAGTCAAATTTACTTGTCTCCGAATCTACTTGTCACTAGGCTAAACCATAAATTACCATTTCCGGTTCTGTATTTTATTTATTAATGCATTTTTAATAAAATGTGGTTAATAAGGATCTATTTTACGCTTACAAACAAATAAATTTTAGTTTTTAATACAGTACAGATAAAAGTAATCTAAATTTACGAATGCATGTACTGTAAATACAGTACATACTTGTAAATGTATATATTTTAATACGATTTTATGTGCTTTAAATGCTTTTCTAGTGATATTACGACTTCAATATTTGTGGCGGACAGATGTAAAGTTGAGCAAAATGACTTAAACTTGATTTTTATTTTTCCATATACCTTTTTGACAAACAACGTATAATCGGGAACGACGTAACTCGAAATGACGTAAGTCGAGGTATATCTGTATTACCTCGACTTATGTCACACCTATTATTCTGAACATTACCAGAATATCTGGCAATTTTTAATATTGGGACATTATGTGTACAAATGCTAACAAATAAGAACAGATAACAAAATGGCAATGGGTCAACTAGTTCAATTAAACTCACAAGGAGATGACTAAACATTCATGTCTCCAATTTGCCTGAAACTTGGTGAGCATGTAGTTTTAAACACAAATAGTTCCTTGTCCAAATAATAGGACCCACATCTCAAGCATTTCCAAAAAATTGATCTCTGAAATTTGAGTGTTTAACATATAAGTCTAAGTTCTACTTGTGCTAGAAATGGTGGTAGCAAGTGGATAAGGTTCTACATGCTGGAGCTACACAATATGAGTTCAATCCTTATGACTTAAAATTTTTTTTAATGTGTAACATAGTTATTTTATTATTTTACTATATCATTAGCATTATTATAACTATTCTTATTCCTCATGCTTAAAGTTTATACAATGAGATTAAAAACTGTGCAAAAACAAAGTTTCTGTAGTAACTCTTGTATGTCATTAAATAAAATTTTTATTTTGTTATATTTATTTTCAGATATGGTGGTATTGTTTTATTTGAAATGTAACAAACATGAGCACATCAGGGAATTGTCCATAACATTAACAATTACAAGAAAAACACTGAAACTATAGTATCCTATGGTATTCTTCTTTTATAAGCTTTAAATGTGAGGAATAAGAATAGTAATAATAATGTGAATGGTAAAATAATGAAATAACTATGTTACATATTTAAAAAAAAACTAAAGTTGCAGACGAGTGAACTCATGTAGTTCCAGTGTCTAGAACCTTACCCGCTTAGCTACTGCCATTCCTAGGATAGGTAGAACTTCTAAACTTATAAACTAAACAGTCAATTTTCAGAGACCTTTTATTGAAATGCTTGAGAGTGAATCCTAATATTCGAACAAGGAACTATTTGTGTTTACAGCTACATGCTCACCAAGTTTTGTTTGAATCAGAAAGACAAATATTTGGCCATTTGTCAGTCAGCTGATGTGCATGTCACTATCTAAAACCTCTTAAACCAAGACATGCATCAAATGCTTATTTATAATTTAACAATAATATTACAGTAGATCCCCCTATAAAACCGTTTCCTATAGTTATGATTCCTATAAAAATTGTGGCAGTATCCGTAAACAACGGTAAAAATAACTCCTATAATACGTAAAACGTCATCGGGCAGCCGAACTACTT